GCCAGATAAAACTAACTGGGCGGGGCCGCACCCAGAAACTCGACCTACGAAAGGCTATGGATACGAAAAATTGAACTTACAATAATCCTTTTTGTAAAAATATTGCTTCAGCTAACGTAAGGTTCCCTTAAACGCGTGTAGAGATATTTGTTTATTTTAGGTCAATTTAATGCAGTGCTTGAAAAAGCGATGTCAAATTCGAATTTAGTATTCGAATATCGCGACCTTCGAATATCGTTTTTCGTGTTAAAAAGATACCTAATATGGCGCACATGTCATAGCGCCGCCGTCCACGTTTTGATTTAATAAATTATTTGCCATCCCATTGGCCCGTTTGTTTTCCGCGGGTACAATGAATATAAATGGAATAAAAAATAAATAAATAAATTTGATTTTCATGTATGGGTGTGCTCATTTTCATACATTACGTTCTCTATTAGATGTCACCTTGTGCCATCTCCTCCGACCACCCTCCTTCTACTATTCGCGTTTTCGTTTAGCCTAGCCTAGTCAGCCAACACCAAATGTATACAAACATACTGATGCTAAATGTTATTCGGTATTGCTCTGTTCCTTCTTCTTTCCATGTGTATCTATTATATTTATTATGCAGTAATCTGATTCTAACACGTATTTGTTAGGGGTTTTGACCATTATTATAATTTATACAAATATTATGTACGAGTCTTGTGCAGAGTCTTGGGACGGATCAGGGCATTTACAGGTAAAATGCGTTCCTGCTTACGGAATTTTCTACGAAGGGCTTCCGTAACGAATTAATTTCGTAGGTTGCATGCACAAAAAATTGTTTATTTTTGTTATTGATCTTACGGCATTGTTGGGGGTCCTTGCAGAAATGTTGAGGTAAAACGCATATCGGTAAATTTCTAAAGAAAACTCCTATTCAAATTTATTGTCACGTCGCCCCTAAACGAGTTCAGTGAGAAATACGTTTTTATAACATTGTGTATTTTGCAACAGGATTTTGCTGGCTAGTTTTGCTAATATAACAGTGGCACTCAGGTACTGGGATATGCTTTGCGACGCACGCAAAGAGATTGGAATTGCTCGTCCGCACCAGATTAACTAAACTAAAAACTCTGTAAACAAATTTTAAACAACGGATTTGCGAACTTATACGACAATAATGGGCTCCAGAAGTATTTGTACCAATATGTAAATACTTAATTTTGTTCGCCTATTTTACATCCAGTTGTTTAAAGGGACTGAAACCTTTGGGCAGGGGTTATGTTGACATGGCTAACACAGACAGTCCCCGAACTCGTAATAAAACTAATATGAGGAAAATCGGTATAAAATTATGGCCTAACCTTAATCTTGTACACGCACTACGGAGGCACCCAAATTTATAACATTCTTTATAAAATATGCATGTTACTATTAATCGCAAATGTGTTGAAGTCAAATAATTAGTATATTTATGTGTGATACTATGCTTTCGCTTAGTATATTACCTATCGTCCTATACTATACACTGTATAGCAGTGGTCGGCAACCACCGGGTCGCGGCCCATCGCCGGTCCGCGGAAAGGTTACTACCGGTCCGCAGAGAGGTGACTAATTCCCATGTCATTATGTCGCATTGACGCTGGGTCAATTGTTTCCCCAACGCCCGTATAAGAAAGTCTCACATCAGTCGGAATAAGATCTATCGAACAAAATAATTCTAGCTAGGGACGTGACTAGTGACTACTCCACTACTTGTTCATAGCTAACCGGTCATGACTAGTCAGTGCTAATTCTATACTTCAGGAATTAGGATAATCATAAAGGTAACACATTGGGTAAAAAATTAGTTATGGCAAAACAACCAATAATAAAATCAAAAATATTTTGCGGCGTAATATCGCTCCATTCTTGTGTAAATGTCAGAAGTAGTGGAAATATAGAAAATTTTCTCATGAATAAATCGGCAATATTACAACAGAAAAGAAATACAGCGAGGTCTCTTATAAGATGTCTTGTCATGACGCATCAGGTTGTTTATAATGAGTAAGTAACGGAAATTGCAAGCTGAAGCTAGTCGAACGTTTTTAGCATTTTGTTAGTTATTTCTATTTTTCAAGAAATTTGAAAACATTCCGTTTCATTCGAGATGAATTTGAGCAGAATCGTTCAAATATTCGTATTTGTAATATATAATTTCCACATTGAGAAAAAACGCAACTTCTAGACAGAAAAATACCTTAGGAAGCGATTGTGATAAAATCTGGGTCGGCCGTTTGCGACTATCACTGGACTGGCCAGTGAGTAACTACATTTGTTAGTGAGGTCGTTTAGTAATAGTTAAGGATATGAAAGTTATATAATATGATTAATCTATGACTAAGGGAATTTCCAAGATCGTATGCGTATTTCCTGGAAGTATATTTCGAAATTTATCTTCAGTTAGGTTAGTTGATATCATCAATTAGACATTTTAATGAGCCATAATAAATAGAAAACTGCTTGTTTTCAGCAAGAGCGTAGGCTGCCTAAAATTTCATTCTATGACGGGAGGCAATTTTTGTTTTCAATGAGACGTAATCCGACGCGTACACGGACCTTTCGCTTCGAACTTGGCCATGTATAAACAGTCTCCTAATACCTCATGAATAACTTGCGGAACTGTACACCAGGGTTGTGCAACCTTTATCACAGGAGTGTCAGATAAAACTTACTGGGTGAAGAGCCAGAAACTCGACCTACGAAAGGCTCCTGGAAATTCAGGGTTATCTATAAAACGGAAACCAAAAATTTCTTACTTTTATCAAAAAAATTATTTAATTTTGTTCGCGCATGAACTTCTGTTTGCATATGATTATACTCAAAAGTTTCGCAAAACTTTCAACTAAAAATAAATATGGACATTACTTGAGGAATTGATAGCGGTGACCAGCAGTGGTTCAAGCATGACAAGGTGACCCCCATACACCAAATCAGAAGCTTGCTTTCCTGAGAGAGAAATCAGCAGTGACATCCAGTGGGCACCTTAATTATCGGACTGAAATATTTCAGATTTTGATATGTAGGTAGTTCAAAGGACAATATGTATAAGAACAATCTTCAAACGATTGGTGAACTAAAGGCTGCAATTGCAGAAACAAAATAGAGAAATACCCAACGAAGAGTGATTGACAATGTTGCAAAAAAATGCAATTGCCGAGAAGGACATTTAGAACATATTCTAGGAACAACAAAATTTTTGTGCAAAACGTCCTAGATTTTCCGACACTTTTGGGTACAAACATAAGTGTCCGTGCTGTAATAATTAGAGCTGTGACGTCATCAAAATTATCAATTGAAGCCTTGAACATGATAATTCTGTAAATACAATTGTGAATTTCAGAGTAACCATGCTTGCTATAATAGTCGTTTTGATATTGTTCTGTTGGGAAAAACTTTACAAAAACGTTGAAATAAAAATTAATTAAATAGGAATTAATTATTAACTCTCTACTGTACACAGAATATCTCAAGGTCAAGGTTTTTTATTGAAAATTTTAGAAATTTTTCCGCATAAAACAAATATTATTAGAGGAGTGTGATATATTGCTGAATAGAATTCTAGCACACGCTTTTAAAAAGCCATGAGTGAAGCTTTAGGGCTTAATGATTAACAAAAAACATAATTTTAAAAATACCAATGCCAAATGGGTAGGGGTTGGTGCGCCGAGAAGGTTGCATAATTCACTCCATATTCGTATAAGTAATCGAGAAATTGTCTTTCTCGTTAATTGGGGACCACGCTGTATAATACTGGTTTTAATATAAATCGGTCAAATATGCTGTTTAAAGGTCACTCTATTCGATATTTTGAACTTACGAAACACAAATGATAAACCGATATTAAACAATGTCAGACGCATCATGATATAACAACATGCTAGATCTTTGCCTTTGCCAATTTATGTATTACTTATGTAGCTTTATTATTCAACGACCCAAGAAATAAAAATGAACAAGTTATGTCGCAACACGGAGAGGGTCCTATCTGGCGTACGTCAGTAAAACCGCCCAGCTCTCACATGTTGCTCTTAACAAAACCAAAATTGTAACATAAGAGTGTAATAACACAACCTACACAACCCGATAGTAAAATGAAGCTGTTTTTCAAAACAGTACAATGAAACGTGCAGTGCATGGTAGCATATGCCGTATGCGCTATGTATTATAGTAAAACAATACGGATTTAAAACAGTCAAAATACCTATTTCACGTTGAGCGAGAAATTTCCAACACCAAAATCACAAGCACGCTAGTTTGAACCAAAACATAGGACTAAATGGCATAAAATATTATACTTCATGTGAGTTCCCGTATTGATGCCAGCGCCCCCCAATCGCCCAGTTTGACAGCCAGCGCCTCCCAAGTTTGGCATACGCCCACTTTGGGAACCGCTGATTTAGTATATTACTCCATATGCTTGCCCGGAGCCATGCTCTGAGATTAAAGGTAGGAATGAAGGTTTTTCTACACTCTCGCTATATGCAATACTTACCTCATTTCTCCATTGATAACGCAAATTCATTGCACTAATTGCAAAGTTAATGAGTAGGTCGTTGCAAACAAAAACGGTCGGATAAGCCATAGTTAATCGGTTAACCGAACCTAGTGTAGTTAACAATCGCAGTTAATTTGACATTCGTGATGTAACAAAATGACAAGATTTTTCTGGGTATTTTTATGACGAAACAACACCAAATAGGATTTTTGTTCACCATCTCGCAAATGCGACGCGTGTCACACATAATGAAGCGGCGGGCACCTGTGGGTCGCGGGCCTAGGTTTTGGCCATCATGAGCCTCGTATGAATAAATAAATGGTATATATAAATAAATAGGGGGATCATAACTACAAGCATTGGTCGCTTTTTGAAATATTGATATTGGATTTGTATTTTTCTGTTTAAATTTATTTTTCACTTTCTCATGTTAACATAAAATAAAAATGTCTATTGGTAATTTAACTTTACCGCGCAAATGATGACGGAACGATGATATGGAATGTTTCTATCCCTATGGATATATATAGATTGGATAAAAAAAATTGAAGACACACAGACTCTACAGACCTGATCCAATTGGGTTCATGGAAAACTTTGGTGAAGCAACGAAGCATGGAATTGGGGAAAGCGGTGATGAACCACCAGCTAAGATCAGATGTACGGAAAGCAGCTTAACAAATACAGGTGATTGATTTTCTGCTTTAGTCCAAAATATAACATAAATATTAGAGTAAGCGATAAGCATAATTAGAATGTTTTATCTGTTGAACAGTAATCTTATCAGGTTTCAAACATTTCGAATTAAGTGATACCTTGAGTTTCATTATATAAAAATTCATTGGAATAAATATGAAACTAGCAATCAAAATGTTTCTTGATCAATCAAACCTACAAAAGCGTATATCAAAGCACCTATATCAAAGCTATACTGACTCCGAGATACTTCGGACTACCAGTTGGCGTAAGATATTTCAAATTATGAGTATGATTTCAGTCGACTTGTATTTGCATATTAATATTTTAAATGCATAACACAAACTCTCTAATGCCACATCCTGGTCAAAACGTCTTCGGGCCAAAAAGTTTGCAAATCTTATCAAATATTGCTTGTTTCCTTGGATGTTTTTTTTTGTTGCTTTTCAGATTCGATCAAACTCTCCGATTCTATTTTGCTGTTTCGAGATAAAAAAATTTCGAACCATGGTGATGTATATGAAGGAGAAATATCGAGTGCAACTTATGGAACTCGTCCGATTGCAATAAAGTTTGTTCAATACAACAAACAAAGTGTGGAAGAGGCAAAAATTCTTTACCTACTGAACCCTCACACTCATGTAGTCTCTGTGATTCATTCAGATGAATACCATCAAGGTCCAATGAAATATATGTACATTGCAATGGACAAATGTAACCAAGACAACTTGAGAGGTTTTGTTGAAAATCGAAAGAAAGCCGATATCCCATTCGATCCTGAACTTGCACTTGATTTTGCAAAACAGTTATTTGCTGGAATTTTATACATTCATGATAAACTTGTGGTGCACAAAGATCTCAAGCCTGATAATGTGTTCTTATCCCTGGATCAAAAAGTTGTCAAAATTGGTGATTTTGGCATAAGTGAAGTCATCGAGTCCAAGACACAAACAGTTTACACCAGAAAAGGTCTTGGTACTGACGGTTACAGACCCCCTGAATCATTTGTGCCTGGATTTCCAACTTCCCAAAAAACTGACATATATTCACTGGCTGTCATTGTTTACTATGTATGGAGTGACGGTAAACATCCCTTTGGTGACGAAAGGGATCTATGGAATCATTTCATGAAAAACCATAAAAACCTGGACCTGGATGGACTTTTAGTTCCAGAAAAAGAAATTGCGAAAGATTTACTGGAATGGATGCTGCAGTTTGTTCCTCGTAAACGTCCAATGATAAACGAGGTTCTCTCTCATAAATATATGGCTCCATCGAATGTAAAAGGTAAGAAAAATTGATTGAAATGTAAATACATGTGTATTGTGATGGTTGGTCAACTAGATGTGCTGGGGATCGGGCCATTGACATATACATTGTAATTTAACTGCTATTTCTAATCTGCGCGTCGTGAAGTTTGCTATATTTTTTTTTCATTTTATTTTCCCCTCAATAACTTATAGCTGTGGTACCCAATCTTTTTGTTATATTTTTTTCCTGTGTTTGGAAACGTTTCCTCATAGTAAGGGGTTTTAGAGATATTGCCCTATTGTTAACCGAAATTAAACACTTATCAAAGAAAACGTTCTGTTCAGGTTCACTATTCCGAGATTTGCAGGAAGAATTTGCACCTGGCAGGTCTCAAACAAGCATCCATGACGAACTTTTGCTTCCACATTTTGAAAATGGAACTTTCAAATCAGATTCGCCAACAAAAAAGAAAACTAAAAGGTTTGTGTATTTATTTTGCTGTGTTATTTGAATATTACTCTCTTGCAGTCTTTCTTCATAAATGTTCCCAATTTGCTTTTGCAAAAAGGCTGAGTTATAATTTTTATCACGGGGTAGAGGTAAGTCGAAAAACGGCCTTAACATATGGCATACCACTGCCTCTGCAGTCCATGTCGGGTATGGGATTAGTTAACCATTTATTTGTTTCAGATGCATGGGCTTTTTAGTGGAGAAAGCCATGACCGACAGGTGGTTGCATTTTACATGACCCCTATACAGCATTGAAAAGTCAGCAATTTGTTCGTTCTACTCGAATGTTCCTATTTACACATTCCAATAAACTTGGTTTCTAGCTAGCGAATTATCAAACAAGGGTATATATAGGTCGTAGGAAATCGACCCATATTTTATTTTCGCGGTAGCAAATAGAACCCTTGTCTATTGAGCCAGCCATGTTTTGTAATTGTTTCACAAATTGTGGCTGTCTCACAAATATTTTTCGTGAACAATATATTATAGATTTACCAAGAATAGTTCCCACTGCAGAAGTATTTTTTCGAATGAGGCAATACCAAATCTAAAATAAACATAAATTTAAAATGAGAATCCTGGTCACACTTATCCTTGATTAAGCATGTTGTTATGAATATATATTCTCGTTGGCATATGTAACATGGCTGTTATCATGCAAGGATGGACCGTAGCAATAAGTTATTAAAACTTATTAACAATCAAATAACTTTTCCTACAAAAACTAATCAATCTAATTTCAGTCATTCTTCACAAGTTGCAACTTCATTATCAAAGCTTGTTAACAATATCCACTTTGCAAAATATCTTGAAGCCAAAGAAAAGAATAGAAAGGCAGCTCTGAACTCAAAAAGTAAGAAAGGTTTATTTCAACATTCCTTGTATTGAAGCATATTAACTTTTTTTTTGCATTCGAATTTGACTCAAAAAACTTTATCGGTTAAGAGTTTCATTGTATAATTTGAAAAAATTTGAATCCAGTAAAGTTTAATTCATGAATTTGAGTATTAACGTAAATGTTCGTGCACCATCAAAAACAAATCTGTGGAAAAGTGTATTATGTCATTTCGTCTACCGAAAGTTAATTAATTGGGTTTGAGCTCATCCTCATAATTAAGTATTGGTTCCAAAGTGCCTGCACATACACCGCAATTATTTGATTCGTTCATTCGATTTATTTTAACACCTGATACGGATACTACATTTTTAACATAAAACAATGAGTGCTTGGCTTTAATTTTCAAAATATAGTGGCATTGCAAACTAAAGGTATTAGTGCTTGGCATTCGTATTTCATCAATTTTTTCCAAATATTATGACATATTGTGCCAAACTGAAAGGGTTTTAAACTTTATACTAACCGTGGCCATGCTTGAAATTGTCATTTGACCCACAAGGTTTATTATAAATTGTTTTTTAATTCAAATTAATTTTTCAAATGTGACATTTCCAGATCGCAAACAACTCACTGATGACATCTTGTGGTCTAAAGACAATGTGGTTTATGAGAGTTTAAATTTCACAGTTTACGAAGGTCAACGGAAACTTCCAAATTCAGTTACAGAACCCTTAGCAATATGGGTGTGTTCTTTGCGGAATGAAAACTTTCTACACGAACTAAAAGCTCTTCAGCAACTTCCACCTCATTCAAACGTAATCTCTGTTATTGCTAGTGGTCGTTTGATTGAAACATGTCAAATTTTTGTTGCTACTGAAAGATGCCAGTTCCAAACTCTTGGTAATTATTATAAAGAAAGAACGAAAAACAAAATTCTTTTTGATCCTAGACTTGCTCTCATACATGCAAAACAGTTAGTTAGTGCTTTACAACATTTGCATAAATATAATATTGTTCATGGATATTTGTTGCCGAATATTTTGTTTTCACTTGACATGCAAAATGTGAAAATTTGTTTCAAGACCTCTTTTTTAGGTATTTTAATATATAATTCCAGCTTTAAAGATGATATTTTATCCTTGTGTCACATCTTGTATAAATTGTGGTCTAATAAACTGATTGACCGAAGGCTAATCTCAGATTCTACAGTAGCTATGGATCCAAGTGCTTTACTGATTCCTAACCCTCACTTGGCCTTTGATTTGCTCACAAGAATGACACACAAAGATAAAGACCAACGACTAACAATTCAGCAGGTTGTTGATCATAAATTCTGGAAAAGTATCAACATTTAGTTTTTCTTTTCATTATTTATTTGTCTTGTGCATGTTTTTTTTTATTTCTACAGACTAAGTCAAGTTTATTTTTTTCCAACTAGTAAGAAACAGTCGTATAAAAGTTTTGAAAAAAAAAGTTTTTTGATCAGAGTGATGGGTTTAGCCACTTTTGTTTAGACCAGTGATTCCCAGAGTGGACGATATCGCCCCCCGGTGGGCGAAAACGATACAGAGGGGGGCAAAAATGTCGAAGGGGGTGATAGGGAGGCGATTTCGCGAAACCTGTTTTTGTTCGGCGCATCGTGCACTTGATTACTGTACTCTGCGTGCTTTCGTAGATTTAAATCACGTGGGCGATGTCACACGCGGAAGGATTGCTGGACTCGTCTTCGCAGTAAGGTACGGTGGTTTGCGTAACCAAGTGATCGGGAAATCTGTAGTGATCTGGCCCGGGACGCTTCACTGAATAGATCTTTTTCCGACCTTTGACCTCGACAATTTTCCCCATACTTTACCATTCTAAAATGTTCAGTGTTTATTTAAGAGTGGTTTCGCGAGTTGTTGCCTATAAAATGAAGTATTTGTTTCAAACTAACATTCTGATTCATACCATTCAACAATCTGCTTTTTCAAAGTACCGATAAAGAATTTTAGCCCAGTCTATCACAGCTATTTCTACACTAATTTTTGATTACTGTAATTAAACAGAAACTCTTAGGATGACAAGGTGTCACATTGACTTATTTTATTTAAATTTCCGAAAAACAACTTGAAACTAACGAATATAATTCAAAATCGCAAAAATTAGGTAATGTTCACGACCACGCCTGAAAGTCTGTCTGAGTGAGGAATGTGTCTGAGCGGATGCGAAAGGGGGCATTGTTACGTTTATTTTTGCATCTTTCTGGTAAACATCCAAACGGCGGTTTCAACGATGAATTAATCTTATTTATTATCTACGCTCGAGGATTAAATTACATTTTTTTTAAGTAACAGAATTTATCGTGAGACACCTTTAGACTAAATTTTATTATATCCTAAAAACTATATTGAACAGCTACTCGCACAACGAGCCTGCAATTTAATTATAATTAGACAATTGAAAACACGCAGAAAAGTTGATGTTATTGCAATGCAATAAGGAAATCAAATTCATATTCTATTCGAGAGGCTCATCACTGCTCAATTTTTTTTAAGAATGTATCTTCTTGAAGAAAATCTTTATCAAAATTTCACAAACCATGCAAAAATATTCTCTCCGATGTTTGGAAGTATATATTTGTGCGAACAATTATTTTTGAAAATGAACATTACAAGAACAAGCAAAGAACTATAAGTTAGAGCAGTGGTTCCCAAACTTTTTTGACCATCGCCCCCCTAAAGTAGTTTATGCAACTTCATCGCCCCCCTGCACTACAAAAAAATATACAGTCAGAAACGAATATATTACAGACCAAATAAGAAGACAAATAAAAGTTTATGGTGTTTTTTAATGAAATAGATGAGCTTGGTGTTCTTCAGCGAGTTATTTATTATATCTAAAATTACCCCGTTTACTGATGGAAAGGTGATTTCGTTGTTTTAATAGCAATAGTAGCACGGCTGAAAACCCCTTTTTCACCATATAATAGATCGAAAATGAAAGAATCCAGGATTCTACCACCTCAAAAACCGCCGTGTACTCTTGCCTTATAGCATTTCACTTTCTAAATTCACCCCATTTCACATTAAAATAATAAAAACAAAGTTAATTTTCCCAAACTTATAATAATGATTTTTGTACATCTCATTCATTCGTACAGCCTGATGACCTGCACCAAAATATTTCGGAAAAATTCATCCCTGATTCCTCATCGTATCACGGCCTCCAGTCCGATCACCATTCCACAATTAACCAGCCATTTGTTTTTGATTCATTGACTCGGATGTGGAGAAAGCCGTGACTGACTATCGGCTACGGCCCAGGGGTCGGCAAGTTTTATGTCGCTCGCAGGACAAAATTCAGGGTTGCTAGTGTTTTGCGGGTCGCATATATTTTTTGGAAGTTAAAAACGGAACAGCACGCAAAAACTGCGACAATTCGTGAACTCAACTCAGTCGTCTTATTAAAAAAAATATTACAATGATATTTAATGTGACACTGTCTCGTTGCTGCATCACGCTGGATAGCTTTACGACGCCAAGATTGAAACATTTTCTAAATGGGCACCACCAAACCCACTTCTTTGCTTGTTCTTTGTAATGTTCATTTTCGAAAATAATGATTTGCACAAATATGTACTTCCAAACATCGAAGTGAATATTTTCGCATGATTTGTGAAATTTTGATAAATACTTTCTCTCTAAGAAGATACATTCTTACAAAAATTAAGCAGTGATGAATCTCTCGATTAGAATATGAATTTTATTTTCTTATTGCTTCGCAATATATTCGAATATTTACTGCGCTATTGAACCCCTGCACTCAGCATCAATTTTTCTGCGTGTTTTCATTTGTCTAATTATAATTACATTGTAGGCTCGTTAAACGAGTGGCTGTTCACTAGATTGTTAGGATATAGTATAATTTAGTCTAAACGTGTCTCACGATAAATTCTGTTACGTAAAAAAATGTAATTTACTCCTCGAGCGTAGATTATATATGAAAAATTTTCATCGTCAAAACCGCCGTTTGGATATTTCCCCGGGCATAGACTTCCTTGTTTACTTCGTGACATTGGCCAATCAGCAAGATGCAAAAAAGGGAACAATGCCCCCTTTCGCATCCGCTCAGGCGCTCAGACACTCTCACTCAGACAGATTTTCAGGCGTGGTCGTGAACACTACCTCATTTTCGCATTTTTGAATTATATTCGTTAGTTTTTAGTTGTTTTTCGGAAATTTAAATATAAATCAAATAAGTCAATGATTACTTTGCCTTTCCATGAGTTTCAGTTTAAATACAGGATTCAAAAATTAGTGTAGAAATAGCTGTGATAGACTAGGCTAAAATTCTTTATCGGTACTTTTAAAAAACAGATTGTTGAATGGTGTGTATTAGAATGATAGTTTGAAACAAATACCCCGTTTTAAAGGCAACAACTCGCGAAACCACTCTTAAAATAAGCCCCGAAACTTTTAAAATGGTAAAGTATGGGAAGAATTTTCCGCAGTCAAAGGTCGGGGAAAGGTCCATTCAGTGAATCGTCCAGGGCCAGATTATTTTACTCCGGCCGTATTTTGCCGACCACTGGGATACGCAAACTACCTTACCTTACTGCGAAGACGAGACCAGAAATCCATTCGCGTGTGAATATCGCCCACATGATTCAAGCCTGCCAATGCACACAGAGTACAGAATTAAGTGCGCCGAACATAAAACAGGTTTCGCGAAATCGCCCTCTTAGACTTTTTCGCCCCCCTCTGTATCGTTTTCGTCCACTGGGGGGCGATATCGCCCACTTTGGGAATCACTGGTCTACAACATCTGCATAAACATAATACTACTCATGAAATATTTGAAACCATTATTCTGTTTTCACTTGACATGCAAAATGTGAAAATTTGTTTCAAGACCTATTTTTCAGGTCTTTTCATATATAATCCCAGCTTTAAAGATGATATTATTTCCTTGGGTTACATCTTGTATAAATTATGGTCTAATAAACTGATTGACCAAGGGCTAATCTTAGGTTCTATAGTAGCTATGGATCCAAGTGCTTTACTGATTCCTAACCCTCACTTGGCCTTTGATTTGATCACAAGAATGACACACAAAGATAAAGACCAACGACTAACAATTCAGCAGGTTGTTGATCATGAATTCTGGAAAAGTATCAACATTTAGTTTTTCTTTTCATTATTTATTTGTTTTGTGCGTGTTTTTTTATTTCTACAGACTAAGTCAAGTTTATTTTTTCCAACTAGTAAGAAACAGTCCTATAACAGTTTTAAAAAAAAAAAAGTTTTTTGATCAGAGTGATGGGTTTAGCCACTTTTGTTTAGACCAGTGATTCCCAGAGTGGGCGATATTGCCCTCCAGTGGCCGAAAACGATACAGAGGGGGAGGGGGGCAAAAAAGTCGAAGGGGGCGATAGGGAGGCGATTTCGCAAAACCTGTTTTTGGTCGGCGCATCGTGCACTTGATTACTGTACTCTGCGTGCTTTCGTAGATTTAAATCACGTGGGCGATGTCACACGCGGAAGGATTGCTGGACTCGTCTTCGCAGTAAGGTACGGTGGTTTGCTTATCCCAGTGGTCGGGAAATCTGTAGTAATCTGGCCCGGGACGCTCCACTGAATAGATCTTTTCCCGACCTCTGACCCCGACAATTTTCCCATACTTTACCATTCTAAAATGTTCAGTGTTTATTTAAGAGTGGTTTCGCGAGTTGTTGCCTATAAAATGAAGTATTTGTTTCAAACTAATATTCTGATTCATACCATTCAACAATCTGCTTTTTCAAAGTACCGATAAAGAATTTTAGCCCAGTCTATCACAGCTATTTCTACACTAATTTTCGATTACTGTAACTAAACTGAAACTCCTAGGAGGAGAAGGTGTCACATTGACTTATTTTATTTAAATTTCCGAAAAACAACTTAAAACTAACGAATATAATTCAAAATCGCATAAATTAGGTAATGTTCACGACCACGCCTTAAAGTCTGTCTGAGTGAGGAATGTGTCTGAGCGGATGCGAAAGGGGGCATTGTTACGTTTATTTTTGCATCTTGCTGGTAAACATCCAAACGGCGGTTTCAACGATGAATTAATCTTATTTATTATCTACGCTCGAGGATTAAATTACATTTTTTTTAAGTAACAGAATTTATCGTGAGACACGTTTAGACTAAATTTTATTATATCCTAAAAACTATATTGAACAGCTACTCGCACAACGAGCCTGCAATTTAATTATAATTAGACAATTGAAAACACGCAGAAAAGTTGATGTTATTGCAATGCAATAAGGAAATCAAATTCATATTCTATTCGAGAGACTCATCACTGCTCAATTTTTTTTAAGAATGTATCTTCTTAAAGAAAATCTTTATCAAAATTTCACAAACCATGCAAAAATATTCACTCCGATATTTGGACGTATATATTTGTGCGAACAATTATTTTTGAAAATGAACATTACAAAGAACAAGCAAAGAACTATAGGATAAGTGATGCTCTTTCAGAAAATCTTCCAATCTTGGCGTCACATTAAATGTCATTGTAATATTTTTTTATTAGGACGACTGAGTGGAGTTCACAAATTGTCGCAGTTTTTGCACGATGTTCCGTTTTTAACATTCAAAAAATATATGCGATCCGCAAAAGAATAGAAACCCCCAAATTTTGTCCCGCGAGCGACTTGAAATTTGTCGACCCCTGAGCCATCCAAGTCCACGAATCCAAAACAAATGGCTGATTAATTCTATGGACTGATGATCGGACTGGAGGACGTGGTAGGATGAGGAATGGGGGATGGATTTTACCGAAGACCGTTATATATCATGTATTTCGGTGAAGATCATCAGACTGTAGGGATAAATAAGATGTACCTAAATCATTAATAAAAGTTTTGAAAAATTAATTTTGAATTCATTATTTTAATGTGAAACGGGGTGAATTTAGGGAGTTAAACGCCATGAGGCAAGAGTACACGGCGGTTTTTGAGAAGGTAGAACCCCGGATTCTTTCATTTCCGACCTCTGATATGGTGAAAAAGTGGTTTTCAGCCTTGACACTATTGCTATCAAAACAACTAAATCGCCTTTCCATTAGTAAAACGGGGTAATCTTAGATATAATAAGAAACTTGCTGAAAAACACCAAGCTCATCCATCTCAATCAAAAACACTATAAACTATGATTTGTCTCCGTATTTGGTCTGTAATATATTCGTTTCAGACTTACAATTTATTTTGCAGTGCCGGGGGGCGATGAAGTTGTATAAACTACTGTAGGGGGGCGATGGTACAAAAAGTTTGGGAACCATTGGTTTAAACTACTTAGCTCATTTTATTGAATATTTAACTGATCATCCAAATCACCCTGATAGTCTTCCCAACTACTTATCGACCGCTTACTATTGGAAGCTTGAATTCGGTGGTCGCGCACTGGTCGTTAGCAAAATAGCAATTTTTATCAGATTGTTAGAATTTAACTTACACGACTGCAATTTGACGAGGCCCTCAAATACCACAACTCTGACCAGGATTCGACCGATAAATCCCGCTATTACTGTCTGAACCAGGTGTTCCCAAACTTTTTCAGCTTGCGGCACACTAACAACGAGATGAAAAAGGCGCGGCACACTCATTACAGATGAAGTTTCATTTAATCCCCTATCCGGAAACATTATGCGTTTTATCTGTAAATAAGAGTTCGTGGTCTCTATCGTTTTTAGCTCTTAATTTTTGTCAGTGCAGAAAACTAATATTTGCAGAATCATGAAAATGCAATTGAAAAGTTACATCTATGAAATAAATTATATTGTATGTGTACTATATATATTTCCTAGTAACGATCGCTGAATACTCGCGTTTTGAAATAGATGACAGAAAATCTACTTAGTGTCGAAGTTTAATAACAAAATTTGTGGTGAAAGTAAAAACTCTCTCTCTATATATACCGTTATATATAGTTTAGAGAGAAATGTGAAAGATTATAAACATGAACAAAGTGGAATTAGGAAAATTGCAATCCTTCCAAAATTAATAGCCGCTCAAGTATAAATGACTACTTGTCTAGGCTACAAATATTTTTATTTGACAAATTTTGTATCAACGAATATGAAAGTTTTCGAACTCAAATTTTCTTCACAGTCAGCTTGCATTGTGAGGTTGTGGTCTAAAACGTTCAACGCCCTAGTAGAAATATATCACCTATTGGTGAACATAGAATAATAAATCTTTGTATGTAAGTTACCAAACTACCCCAAGTACTGATTGCTATATAATAAAGTTCATGTTGATTATTGTGCAAAAAAGCTTCTGAAAATACACGGCACACTTTCAGGACATTGGAGGTACACTGGTGTGCCGGGGCACACAGTCTGGGAAACCCTGATCTAAACTTACACTGGGATTTGAGTCCATACTTTTACCTAGAGATTAGGGATGGCGGAATTGAGTCCGGATTTGGATACAGAATCGATTCTTCGGGGAATCGACTAGAATCGATTCTGATGTATTGGAATCGATTCTCGAGGTTAAACTTGGATTGCTAACAATGTGTAACGTTTTGTGGCAATTCCTTAACATATATGTACAAACTGCTTTACTGCTATGTTGAGTTTCTACGACGCCGCAAACTTCACTACAAATATATAAATATATTCCGCTAGTAGGTTTTTACGTCTATTTATTTCTAGAATCTCTGTGGGTTCTGAGGGATTCTTTTTTTGTGCGATTTTGTCTCCTGTGACAGATTGGATACTGATACTACTTTGTTTTGGCCTTCTTTTGCTCCTTATATTTACTCTTGTTTGATTTTATATGGTATTGCCTAGGTGGGTATGTTTTCTCGGTATGATATGTCGAGGAATCGAGAATCGGAATCGAAAATTTAGGAATCGGATAAGAATCGAATACTCACAAGTAGTCATACTTAGCATCCTTACTGATGATCGCCTATTAGCGCACGTAATTTCGATCAAGTTCTCTGGAATAAATAAAAGTATCAAAAATAATGTAACGGAATGTACTTACCAATAATAACCTGTAGATAATATCCCCGTTTGATTAGGATCTCGTTTTCTTCCATTTTTAGGGTTGCAGTTTGAATAGAAGGGCTTGACATTTTCATTTTTACTTTTCGTATTAAATTGGCAAAATAAAGCTAAATTTAAAATCTAGAATTTCACCTATTTGGTCTGTTTTTGTAAATTTACTATGACGTCATAGAGATGTTTTAGCGTTTGTGTTTGTAAATTTATTTTACATTCATTCAAAGACTTTGACGACGAAAGGAAAGTTTTCGTGAGTATTGGTTTTATATTTTGTCGCGACAGCACCTTCTTGGGTGAGCCACATGCCTAATAAAATTGGCTGAGTATTTGATAACTTAGTTAAACTTTGATCGTAGTAGCAATTAATGATGATGGTGTTTTTGCAACTGAGTGGTATTTCCTATTTCATTAATAAAGTAGAATTGTCTATTTTTACGAAATTTTTTTTATTTAGTTTTTTTCGTACATTAAAGGTTTTATGAGCCACAGAATTATTTACGGCAACGGGTAGTGAGCCACGGATGAAAAAGGGTTGAGGAACCACTGTTCTAAACTATGTTACTTAGCAGTGGCCAATTGTGGGAGCCTTGATCAAGCGAAATGGCATTGTATCGCTATAAAAAATGCCGCTTCATTAGGGCGGGATACGCGTGTTGGACTAGCCAAAGTGAACAAAAGCTGTTTTAGACCAGAGATGCCTCCCAGAGCGAGCCTTAATTTTTGTATTGTCCGGGATGAATATTTTTTCCAATTTATGGAAGATTATAATAAGCTACCAATGTGACCATAGGTATAGTGCTGAGTAGCTGATCGATGCCTAAAAATCGGGTTGGTGGAGGGAAGTCTTTATCGATTACTCCATGTTTCCCGAAAACAAATAACTGGTTAACACGAGAATTTCGTCGGGAGACCGAAGATTTAACGATCGAAGGTTAGGCGGATTCCCCAAACAGGCTCTTCACTCCATAGTGCACCGGTGTCCTATCACTAATTAATATTAACTCGCTTATAATATATTTGATTCATCGGAAAATCATAAGCTTCTGATCCGAGCTATGGATGAATGCACATGCAAATATTGAAGCAGACTTCAACCTCGCTTTCGTGGATACGCGTCATCTAGCAGTCAGACAGACAAACAGACAGAACAAATACTATCACATACTTACCAATTAAAATCGATGAGTAATAATCCCATCCGGGATCTCATCGGCTTTCTCTCCCCGGGATAAATATGTAAATCCAATCCAGACTAGTTTTTACGTAAACTGGCTATAGCAAGGAATTAAGCAATCTTCGCGCACCTAAAATTGTATAACTTAATATTTTAACATTTTTCCACAATCCAAGTCGGAGCTATTGCGACGCAAAACGAATTGCGCGGGTTGTTCTGTGTGTGTAAGAGGAATAAAGATTAATAACCTCCTCGGCTCCTAGTGATACTATAAAAAAATATTTATTCAATTTTAGTTTTAATGGTCGTTTAGAACTTTCTTTCCGATAACTCGGTATCTTTTCGGTCCGAATTGGTATTTATCACCGCCATAGTAAATTCATAGCCATAGTAAAAAAATTAGCTTTAAGCGCTAGTTCACGTTGCCCAACGAGAACGTCTTTCACGTAAAAAAAATATAAAATTAAACCAGTACTCACAGGAGCTTGTCCTTCGTTGTCAAAGTCTTCAAATTAATGTAAAATCAATTTACAACAACAAACGCTAAAGCTTCTCTATGACGTCATAGTAAATTTACAAAAATGGCTAAATAGGTGAAATTCTGCATTTTAAATTTACTTTTATTTTGCTAATTTGTAATGAAAAGTAAAAATGAAAATGTCAAAGTTTTCTCTGCAAACTGCAACCCTAAAAATGGAAGAAAATGAGATTTTAATTAAACGAGGGCATTATCTGCGAGGTATCATTGGTAAGTACATTCCACAGCAATATTTTTTTTTTTTTTTATGAGAAATTGCTCGGAGCTACATTCAGAAGTAAAGGAGACCGAACTAAACAAAAAAATGTTCCGATCTGTTCAAACTATGGTAACTTATATATATCATAGACCGCTGTAGTGAGTGTGATGAAAATTAGTCAGTGTTCAGAGACAAGTTCCTACCAAGAGAAATTCAGGTGGAACTTTTATTTTTTCCTTGAACACCGTTTGACTGTTACTGTTATTCAGATAGAGTTATAGTCTTTGCCGATCGGAGTCGACGTATGGGAATAAAGTATTACTCTGGGACCAAAGTACACACACATTCCATTTTTTATTTCAACAGCCATTATTATACCGGTTTTTCCTTGAATCCTTCGGGCTCGATATTTTATTCAGTATCTTTTTCTATTTCTTTTTCATTCTTAGAAACACTTTTATATAACATTCGTGTTTATATACAGGGGTCCATAAAGTCCCTTTGCAATTTCGATTTTGTTATGAAGTCAGTTCTCAATATACCCTAACCAGGGGTTTATTTAATCAGTGGTTGAAACTGAGCCGGATTCTGAAAAAAATCGAATTATTTTGTTTCTCAACGGCACTAATCCTTTTTTTCAATTTTGAATGGCTGGCTTTGTATTGTGAAAGATAATCAATATGTCTAGATTTTTAAGACAATATTAAATTTCAGAATGATTAGTATTGTCATAATAATGATTTGCAAAGACAGACAATAATAATGGGTCGACAGAAAGTTTAGAATTGACTGAGAGTTATTACTTATTACAATCGTAATAAGTGTTCTATTTTAAACAACGGATTCGAGAACTTATACGACAATAATAGCTCCAGAAGTGTGTGTACCAATGTGGAGGTAACCAATTTTGTTTGCCTATTTTACAGCAAGTTGTGTGAAGAGACTGAAACTCATGGACAGGGGGTATATTCACTTGGCTACCACAGAAACTCCCCTAACTCGTAATAGAACTCAAACAAGGAAAATTGGAATAAAATTTAAGCCTTATTCCTAACCTGGTACACATATTGCGGGTATACCTAATAATGGTATTAATAAAATATTTAGATATCAGGGATACACACGGTAACGTTTCATTTAAATTAAATAAGTTCGAAAGCAATTCATTGTTTCCACCCAGGCACTGCACTTTGTTGCACCAGAAATCAGGCTGTTCCCGAAGGCGGACACCAACGTAGTATGCGCATCAGGTTGAAATTAGGCCATAATTTCAGGCAAAATACTACGGGATTCACTTGGCTAGTTCCCGAACTCGTAATAGAATTAAAATAAGCTAAATTGGAATGACATTATGGCCTAACCCTGCCCTGGCACACATACTACGCTCCGGTGTCCTCCATCTTGGTTCACATATTACGGGAGTTCCGAAATCAGTGGGAGGTGAATTGTCAGAATAATCTCATGATTACTGAGGCTCAAACATGGAACCCGATTTGGACTGATTGACCACGAATCGCCAAACAATTAGGATAAATTATCAGCTTTCTTCCTTCTCTCAGATAAATATCAGATTCCTGTCCAATAACAACTAAAGATTCGAATTATGTGATAAAGCTATAAAACAGCTGCTTGCCATAAAAATCGGAACCGCAAAGTCAGTATTAACATCTTTAGTTAGTCACATTGGGACAGCTGATGTGAGATTTAAAAAATAAATTTTGCACACAAAATTGGCAAAAGCTTCCATAAGTATTTCACTCATACATTATATAAAGTATGGTTACTGGATTGAAAAGATATGAAAATAATCACACAGATTTGAATGTAAAAATTCTAAAATCACGACAATTTGATGAAGCATGAATGAATTTAAAGTTAGATTGAGTACAAAAAATGGTGCCCGGGAAAATGGTTCAAAAGTTGGACAGTGTAAAAATAAATCATCGAATATCTATAAATTAGGTATTGTAAAGTTGGAACGTGAATTCCAATCCACTCAACGTTGTTGTAGTGGAGTCCTATTTGCACCCGCACCCGCCTTGAAGAATTATGCGCAATCTCCCAGCTTCTAGTAACTGCACAACCAAAGTAAAGAGGCAACGAGATCCTTAGAAAACGAACTGTATTCATCAATCTCCACATATGAGTAAAATGTTGCTACAGCACAGAAACTTGAAGACCAACGATAAAACTAATTTATAACGACACGGATGCACTATAAACAACCAATGAAAGAATGACAAAATAACATTCACAATGACAAGCAATAATAACCAATACTAAATAAGACCTAACTGAGCTAAATTAATATAACAGATTTCACGAAACCCGCACCCCTAATGTAAACTATATCCAAGACAAATTTCAATACTAAACGACACTTTTGCAATCCCACAGTGCCGTATAGAACAAAGAATCAGAAAGCGTTATCTCAAAACCCGGGGAAAAGTTTCACTCCCTATTTCTTCACTATGGCGCAATAATGAGTTACCGTCAACAGGAAATCAAGATAAAGAAAGATAGAAAATAATTCGTCTGGGATTGTTAATATAATAGAGAAATATAAATGGACAAAAGTGTGAGGCGTGCGAGGTCAAATCTAACATTCCGGCCCCAGATAATTTAGACTTATAATTATCTCAATAAAAGAGGTGATCGAAGTAGCCGAACACAAAGCATATAAGTAAACCAAATAGGAAAATAATGAATACGAAATTGTGTATGGAAAAATGTGAAATGTAATATACAGAAACAAAATAAATAATCATCAATCAGACATTTAATCAAGTTCAAGTGAACATATCTTCCTAACATCACGCATGAACGTAGATTTAGAGGTTCGTACCTTCACCCTATGCACAATGCCTAGTCTATCAGGATAAACCTCATCCACAACAGCCATTGGCCAACTACCACGGGGAAGTATGTCATCACACATAAGTACTAAGTTACCAGGCTTCAGGTTAGGGGAGGGAATGAAACCACTTTGAGCGTTTCTGAAGCAGAGGTAAATATTCCCTAGTAAATCTCTGCCAAAATATATCCAACCACCGCTGGACATGTCTATAGCCCTGTCTATACTCATCAGCCCGCAGAAAAACATCAGGGGGTAGATCAGGATCTAATTTACTTAGTAAAATAGAATGGAGGTCTCTGGGATCATTACTTACTCGGGTAAGGGGTCTGTCATTTAAGATGGATTCCACTCCAGCCAGAAAAGACCAAAGTGAATAATCGGTTAATGGTTTATCATCAAGCATATTCCTCAGAATCTTCTTAACTACTCTGATCAATCTTTCAACAACTCCATTCTGGTGACTTGCAAGAGGTGGTGAAAAATGCCATTGAATTCCCTTTTGTGCAAGAGCATTGTCAATTTGTTTCTTATTCCAATTTGTAATTCCATCCTTGAGAGCTTTACTTCCAGCAATAAAATTCGCACCATTGTCAGAGTACATGTGAGCTGGTCTTGCACGTCGCGAGACAAAACGAAAAAAGGCTTGTAAAAATGCAGAGGTATCCAAACTCTCTGCAACCTCCAGATGAATTGCTCGAGTAGAAAGACAAGTGACTATAACTCCGTAACGCTTATGTTCGCTTCTGCCCAACTTGACCTTTATATGACCAAAATAATCAACGAAGCTGTGAAAGAATGGTCTATTTCCTGTACAAAGCCTAACAGCAGGCATATCTGACATCCATTGTTTACCAGGTCTGGCAGATCGAATCTTGCATGGCATGCATTCTCTAAGAACTTTTGCCACCGCTGACTGAAGATGCAATATCCAATATTTTTGTAACAAATAAGCCTGTACTTGATTGCTTCCACAATGTCCATGTTCACAGTGGTAATAATCAATTAGTAGTTTAGTAGCATGGTGATATGGGGGTAAAATTACAGGATTCCTTTGATCAGGTTGTAATTCAGATTGACGAAGCCTGCCTCCAACTCGAAGTATGCCATCAGCCACATATGGATTACACTGCAAAAGTTCTTTAGCAAATGGCGATTTAAGTCTCTTTCTGTCAGAAGGTGGAGGGCCCGAACTCATCATATCTTTAAAATAGCAAAACTCAGCAGACAATGAATCTGCTTGTATAAGTTTCACAATATCTATAGTTGCATTTTCCCGTTCTGCAACAGTAAAACAACCAGTAACTGGAGAATCAGAACGATGTAGCAATTTCCCAATCATGTAAGTCTTGAATCTTTGAAGCCATATCACAGAGGAAATAAGTCTTTCAAATTTAGAGTAACGTTTCAACAACACCATAAGTCCAGGTTGTTGTATTATAGAATTCTTTTCCTTGTAGGAAATCTCATTATAATTAACTTTCACTTCAGAACATATTTCAGAGTCCTCAATTGTTTCAGAAATATGTGAATTTCTCAATGGTTCCTTGCTTCTCAGAAAAGAAGGTCCTTTGAACCAGCAATCAGCTTTGTGGCGCTTGTCAGGCATTAGTCCACGACTGGCAATATCTGCTGGATTAGACTTAGTGTCAACATGATGCCATTGTCTAGATTGAGAAAGCAAGTGAATTGTATTCAATCGATTAGCAACAAAAGTTTTGAAACGTTCAGATCGACTGTTTATCATTCGAAGAACTGTCATTGAATCCGTATAGAAAAATACATCTGTTATCACTTCATTCAATTCCAATTTTATGCATCTCGCCAATTCTGTAGCAGCAACCGCTGCAGTCAGTTCAAGACGTGGTATCGTTACAACTTTCTTTGGAGCCACCCTTGACGAGCCTTTAACAAATGCAGTGTGAATGTTTCCTGCATCGTCAATTATTTTCAAATAAGCACAAGTTCCATATGCAAAAGAACTTGCATCACAAAATACATGTAACTGAAAAGTAGATGGAGTAAATCCTTTTGGTCTGTTGCATCTACAAAATGATAGCCCATTCAATGAAGGTAATTTAGATAACCATTCTTCCCATTTGTCTCTAAGAGGGCCAGTAATTGTATCATCCCATTGAAATTCTTCATAACAAAGATCTTGCAGAATGATACGAGCTTCAAGTACAAATGGTTGAACATACCCAAGAGGGTCAAATATCTGCGACACCATTGATAATATGCCACGACGAGTAGAAGGACGTTCTTGAATTCTGACAATAACAACAAATTGATCAGTGGCTGCATTCCAATTCAATCCTAAAGTACGACTCACCGCATCATCGCCTAGTTCCAGAGCATGAGCGACGGGAGCCTTGTCTTCTTCAGTAACACATTGTAGAACTTCTGGTTCATTGCTTAAAAATTTAGTCAAGTGAAAACCTCCTGTTGCCAGTAAATCAGTAGTCTGTCGAACTAATGTAGATGTCTCCTCTACTGTATCTTTTGAAAATAATCCGTCATCTACATAAAAATTAAAGCAAATGCATCGAACAGCGGTCGGATTAGCATTAGATAAATTATCTTCTGCAACCTTTCGTAGAGCAAAGGTTGCAATAGAAGGTGAGCAGGTAGTACCAAAGGCATGAGATAGCATTCTAAATTGAGAAACAGGTTTTGTAAGATCATGTGTAGGAAACCATAAAAAACGAAGAGATTGTGTATCTTCACGCTTTACCAATATTCTGTGAAACATCTGTCGAATGTCACACGACACAGCAATGGGGTTCAAACGGAAGCGTAGAAGAACTCCAACTAATGAGTTATTGAAATCAGGTCCTGATAGTAAATTCTTGTTCAGTGATTTTCCATCAAACTCTGCTGAACTGTCAAAGACAACACAAAACTTCGATTGTCTTGTTGCATGGTGTGGAATGAACCAGGTTCTCTCTGTAGGTGCCAATTCATCTTCTGGTATCTGTTCAGCATATCCATTCTTTATATATTCATCCAGTTTCTCAATGTACTTTGTAGCAAATTCAGCATCCTTCTCCATTCTTCGCTTGACAGACATGAGACGTTTGAGAGCCATGTTATAGTTGTACGGTAATTTAATATCATCATATTTCCATAATAAACCAATTTGCAATCGTCCGTCAACACGCTTCAAAGTATCATTCATAATTTGTGTAGCTCGTTCATCATCCAAAGAAGGTTGTGTTGTTAATGGATCTGCATTCATATCAGCAAAATCATTTCCACAAGTTTGACAGACAGCAATTTCACGGTTAACATCACTCTCATCCAGGATATCATCATGCAATGAGGAACAAATAAAGAAAAAAATCACAACCATTCAATTTGCTGCTTTCTGTCCCCTGACAATCTGTCACTTCCGGCTTGGTAATGATTTTGCAATATAGTTCATGGTTGTCAATTGTAGGTGTCTGTGAATTATCACATGCAATTTCTTCCTCCTGCAAATTGTGATCTTCTTCTGGAAGACTTTGAGGTGACATGCAAGTATCGCATGAAGTGTCATTAAATGATAGCAATGGAAGAGTAGTTGAAATAAAATTCACAGCTACATCACTTTGTAAATTCTGTAGATCAGATATCATAGGCACAGAAGTGTTAATATAATTCAGGGAATTATTATCAGATTTCATTGATGGATCTTTGCCAAAGAGACACCATCCAAGACATGTAAGCAAGGCTCCTGGAGTACCAGGAGGTCCGACTCGGGAATCAGTAAATGGACAATTACCCAAGGTATCTGCCCCAATTAATAGTTCAACATCGCCATCAATATCTGGGAACTTCAAACCATCCAAATGAGGATATTTGTCAATTATATCCGGCTTTGGCAATGAATCTCTGACGTCAGGAATTTTGTCAAAAGTTAAAGCATTGTGTACTTCAACAATGTTAGTATTATTCACGCCATTTAGGCGAAATGATACTCTTTCTCCAGTATGAACAACAACACCATTTGTAGTGCGTATCATGCAACGCTCTGGTTTACCAGAAAGGCCAATAGATTTCGCTAGACGAGTAGAGCAAAATGATCTTTGAGATCCTAGATCCAAGAAAGCAATTGTTTTCTTCTTATCACTTGCGTCAGGTAAATGTATTTCAACAGCAACAGCCATGAGTCGAACAGGGCACAAAGTGTTGAGTACAGACATAGAATTCACAGAAGTTGTTTCAGTTTGAGGTGCATGTAATGGTTCCTTAGAACGCGACTGATGCAACGCAGGCTGCTTGGCTACCTGCTCCAAATGTAACAGAGTGTGGTGAAGTCCACCACACCCTTCTTTTAGACACCTCTTCTCTGAAGGACAACTGCTAGAAAAATGTTTCTTGGATGACATGCAATTGAAGCAAATAGACTGGTCCTTTACAAATTGTCGTCTGTTAGAAATGCTCTTCTCTTTGAATTTGTTACAGCGCATCAGAATGTGATCGCCTTTACAAAGATAGCAAAACAAAGCAGATTTGCCATTCTTGCCAGAGTTATTAGTTTTGTTGTAATTTTGTTTGAAGTTAGGTTCCGATTTTGGCGTACTTAAAGTGGTGAATGTAGAAAACTTCGATGGACGCTTGTTAATGTATCCTTTATGACCAGATGATTTTGTCGCTAATTCTGCCAGAGTGCAACCATAAAATGTGTTGTACAAACGAACTCTAGACTCAATGAATTTCAGCAAATGGTTGAATGACGGGATTGTGAATGAAGTCCATGTGCCATTCATGACATAGTCAGTACGCATATTAGAAGGTAACCGTTCAAAGATAGCAACAAGATATGCTGGGGCATCGAGTAAATTCCCTGCATTCCAATTGTCAAACACAATAGAACAGTTACGCATCTGTGATGATAGTTTGCAAAGTCCTTTGACGTCATTTACACGAATTTTCGGTCCTTCAGTAAGTTGCTTTATAAATGTGCTGATGATCAGTGATCGATTGCCAAAATGAAATTCTAAAGTGTCCTTAGCTGCATGAAATGCTTGTGCTGGGTCATCAGCCATTCGCAAGTGCTTAATTACTTCATATGCCTCACCTTTGCAGTGAGCAAACAATTGTGCCAACAATGTAGAAGGATCAGATGTGAGACGTCCAATTGTGTTATAGAAAGATCTTATAAATGCATGATACTCTAATGGATCACCAGCAAATTCTACTTTATCCAATGCTGGCAAGCGGAATTCTTGTTGAATATTTCTTCCCAGAAGGTACAAATCATCTTTGCTGGCAGCTTGATGATGGATAACGTTAGGGGAAGGTAAGGAAGGTTGTCTCATAACGGTAGGGTGAGGTAATTGTGAGCTTGACATATAAGGAGGTATGAAAGATGGAATTGTGGCAGTATTTGTGCACAAGGCATTTGAAATGGTAGGATGAGGAAAATATGGTCCTACAGGTCTTGTTAAGGGAGGTAACACTGATGTTATCTGCTGAGATGAGTTTGTATAAACAGGGCCTGGAGGCAAACTACTAACAGTGGTAATAGTATTTGGCTCAGCCTGTGGAAAACTACTACAAAATGTTGAAAAATAAGCACTAGTATGGGCCTGCGATACAACAGGCATAGTTACATTAACATGAGAAAATATGTCTGGCCTATTGTAATCAAAAGACATAGTATCAGCTGGCGCAATAAGCCGCTGTGGGACAGAATTTATAGGTTGTGAATACACCTACTGTGAAATATTTGCATTAGAAAATTGGTTAGACTCTACAACACTGCATGGGGTTGAAGACTGAACTGCATTAACAGTAGAGAAAGGATAAAACGATGGTTGTAAAACAGGAAAAGACGAATTCAAATAAGAACGTATACCTGAATTTTCCAAACTACTGTTAGACAAAAGTGGAACTGAACTAGGTCTCTGACTCACTTCAGTTGAACGTCGAAAAGTTACATCCCGTGCTGAGATGACGGTGTCAACATCCAAAACCGAATTGGAAGTGGAAGAGTCTCTGTCACTTGCCAGTTCATCAAGCAGTTGAGCTTGTTGTTCTTTAAACTTTGCTTTCATCTCTGCTAATCTTTGCTTTTGCGCCGCTAGTTCTCTTGCTTGTAATGCTTCAAGTTTTAACATTCTTGATTTCTCCAGTCTTCTATAAGATGATGAAGAAGATTTAGATTTCGACGAATGAGATATTGACCGTTTGGAAATGTAACTAATGTCGGCTTCTTTAACACAGAAGTCCAAATATTGGCGATAAATCATGTCACATGATTTCAATTTATCCATAACCTGAGTCAGGTGTAATTTTGCCACATGTTGATCAAGTCCATTATTTAAAATATAATTCTCCAAATACATTTTCCAACTGTTCAGATGATCGCATACTTTCTGATAATGTAAAGTAACACTCTGTTGATTTTGCTTATCCAGAATAGGTTGTGCAAAAATGTTATTCATATCCGTAAAAGTCTGTCCATAATGGTCATTTGCTTGACGTAGATGATCATCCTTTATTGTTTGACCCAATGAAAATTGTCGAGCTTGAACTGCAGGAATGGTGATGTCACCAGACGATTCATCAATAATATCTTTAGAAACATTTGAAGCCATTGTTGAGAATAGTAGTCAGATGTTCTTCAAAGTCGGTCAATCGAATATTAGTTTTATTTCAATGTAAAGTTGGAACGTGAATTCCAATCCACTCAACGTTGTTGTAGTGGAGTCCTATTTGCACCCGCACCCGCCTTGAAGAATTATGCGCAATCTCCCAGCTTCTAGTAACTGCACAACCAAAGTAAAGAGGCAACGAGCTCCTTAGAAAACGAACTGTATTCATCAATCTCCACATATGAGTAAAATGTTGCTACAGCACAGAAACTTGAAGACCAACGATAAAACTAATTTATAACGACACGGATGCACTATAAACAACCAATGAAAGAATGACAAAATAACATTCACAATGACAAGCAATAATAACCAATACTAAATAAGACCTAACTGAGCTAAATTAATATAACAGATTTCACGAAACCCGCACCCCTAATGTAAACTATATCCAAGACAAATTTCAATACTAAACGACACTTTTGCAATCCCACAGTGCCGTATAGAACAAAGAATCAGAAAGCGTTATCTCAAAACCCGGGGAAAAGTTTCACTCCCTATTTCTTCACTATGGCGCAATAATGAGTTACCGTCAACAGGAAATCAAGATAAAGAAAGATAGAAAATAATTCGTCTGGGATTGTTAATATAATAGAGAAATATAAATGGACAAAAGTGTGAGACGTGCGAGGTCAAATCTAACAGGTATTGTGTACTTATTGGTGGAATCAGAAACTTTTTACAAATGTTTAGAACAGGGGTGTGCAACAGATGGCTCGCAATCCACAACCTGACACGCAAGGCCATTTAGTGTGGCCCCAATCAATACTCAGATATTTTCCCATCAAGCTTTTTTTTGCCGTTTTGCCCAGTGCCGGTATAACTGTATGCTACAGCCCATTATCTTATCCTGCCTTTCCCGCGGTGCTGTGTACATGAAATTTTTTTTTGTGTAGGCCAGCTACATGACTGAAGTTTATTATATGACCCACCGACAGAAATGCTAACAAATTTGACAATCAAGATTATCTATATTTATTTCGCAGCCCAAGCAGTGTAAGTTGAAAAATTGTAGACGGTTTGCATAGACAACCATAATTTATTTAATATATTAGAATGTTGTGTACAAACAACTGAAAAAATTAAATGTTAATACTTTTCCAGAAATCATGATCAACAACCTGATGAATTGTTAGTCGTTGGTCTTTATCATCGTGTGTCATTCTTGTGAGCAGATCATTGGCCAAGTGAGGGTTAGGAATCAGTAAAGCACTTGGATCAATATCTACTGTAAAATCTAAGATTGGCCCTTGGTCAATCAGTTTATTAGACCATAATTTATACAAGATGTTCCCCAAAAGAATAATATCATTTTGAAAGCTGGGAATATTTTCGAAAAAAATTTTAGAATAATTATGGAAACAAATTTCCACATTTTGCATGTCAAGTGAAAACAACATATTGGGTTGAAATATTCCATGAGCAGTAATATGTTTATGCAGATGTTGTAGACCACTAACTAACTGTTTTGCATGTATGAGAGCAAGTCTAGGATCAAAAAGAATTTTGTTTTTCTTTCTCTCTTTATAATAATCATGAATGGTTTGGAACTGGAATCTTTCAGTAGCAACAAAAAATTGACTTGTTTCATTCAAAC